TTCACACTTGTGCATCCTCAAAACATTCAATTTAAAATTCCTATAATAATCCCCGGACCAATATTCCTTAAAAACCCTCTTTTATGTTTCTAAATCCACGTTTTTACTACTAAAAAAAACTTTTTAAAAAAACTCACGTTTATGTCTCTATTAGTCCCCGAATAAATTCAATATAAAAATCCACCATCTACACGAATCCATGAAATAATTGGTCTAAGTAGTTACCCTAAATCCCATAACCACTTTTGCAAAAACTAAACATTAATAAAATACATTCCAAAAATATATATAATTTAAAATAGTTTATTTATTTATAATTTCTTTTAGTTTAAAACTAAATATAAGCTTGTTTTGTTAATTATAAGTTACATTGTGTGTGAGTGTCGTATTTTAAACCTACATATACAAATGCATACATACATATACTAGAACAAATATTATTTAGCATTTATCTGTATTCTGTTTTTCTTCATCTAATTAAATTCCCTAAACAAAACATTCTTGGAACGATAGGATTATTTTTCTGTGCTTAGTAGAGAGAGACAAAGAGAAAAATAAACCCTGAGTGTTGGCCAGCCTTTAATATCAGTCATCAATACAAAAAAACAAATTCATTCATTCCGTACCTCTAAATTAATTAAAAAACCATAATAAGGAATCATTATATATCAGCAGTATGGTGTATTCAATATACGGCAACAGGGAGAGAGTGAGAGAGAGTTATGTGCAAAGGTATAGGTCATTTTTTGGAATAGTCCTTTGGAAAGTGTTGCATTTAAAACAATCTCTTGTGAATGATGTAAAAGACACAGGCTAAGAAGAATGCAAATGCAAAGAATAATAACATTTTATCGGTACATTCGCGACGTCCATATTTCTTTAATAGTTTGCCCGATTGGGAAATGGTACCGGCCGTATTTGTCAACTCGTCTCGTGTGGCCTCGACATTCTGAGACGAAGCCACAAGATTTTCCAATGTAATGGCACTCTTCTGTGTTGTCTCGGAGAGATGCCGTGATATGGCCAGCATTTTTTCGGTTACATTATTTTCCTGGGTAACCAAACTACCGCGATTGTGACGTGTCGCTGTTCCAGCTGTGTGGCGTTGCCGCAAATCGGTCTCCCCTGTTATGGCCATCAACTCCTCACGATTGGCCTTTTCAATTTCCAACATGGTGGCCACATTGGCCTTACGAAATGCTTGCAAAACTTTGGAGAATTGTTCTCTTTGGGTATCGACTTCTTTGGATAGCGCCGGATCACCGGTATCACGAGCCCAATCATTTAGACGATCAATATTTTTCCTTAGCGCTGCCAATTTTGCACGACCCGCTTCATTGAGGGCTTCCAGTTCTTGTATTGATCCGCGATATGTTATAATGTCCTGATGGAAAGGAAGTGAGAGAAAATCAATTAGTCATAATGTTCAATGAAAATTTACACAGTGTCCGTCCTCACCTGTATGATGGCCTTTGCCTGTAGATTGTTGTCAATTAATTCTTGCCGTATCGACTGCAGGGTATATTTTTCTATATTCATTTTGTTCGGCTTTGGAATGAATTGTTTAGGGAATTTCCGACGAATTGAGAATGTTCTTTTAGGTTTTCCTAAATTTAAGAAAAATTAATTTCTTTGGTCAAAAAAATCAACAAAACAAGAAACAATAACAACACAGATGTTAGGGTTGTACAGATCGACTGTTGTTGCAAAGGTTCTACGTGAACTGGTTCAATGGCATGATTCAGTGAAATGAATGGATGGAACTATTACTTCATTATTGAAGTGTTTTAGGTTTAACATTTAAAGTACATTTACATATACGTTTTTAAATCGACTCGATTAACGAAATCCAGAAATACACCCTAATTGTTTACACATACCTTTAATCATGATATAAATGCCGATCAGCTGATGTTTGTTAGTATACATATAAAATTATTAATTTGCGCCAAAAATATTTGTTTACAATTTGAAAAAGAATAGAAGAATTACCACAATGGAAAGGTTTTTGCAGTACCCTGATCGTTTGGAAAGTAAAAAAAAAAAACACCTAAAACACAAAAATTCTACAATTAATTTTTATTTTTCTTTGATCTGTAATTTTTGTATTTGTCAACAGTTAAATTTAAAAATAAACGCCATGTAAAACAGTTGCATATTTTGGTACATTGTGAGAGGGTTGTATTTTTTCGTACAAAACCCGCGTTGCATTTCAGTAGTATCATGATTTCGATCATGATTTAAAATAAACCCTGCTGCACGATGATTTAAATTTGTATGATAAATCATGGTAAATTCAGCGTGATTAAGTAAATAAACCCTGATTCACACTTTAATCGTGATTAAATGTTATATGTAAATTCGCTTTTATTACATCCAAATAGGATGGAAGGATAATTACGACCCTCCACAGACGTAGATTATTTTAAGAATATTTTCTATAGGTGTAGATAGTTTTCCCATGGACCAAATAAGGGTGGATTTATTGAAGAATATTTTTCCAAAGACCAACTAAGCGTGGATTTATTAAAGAATAGGTTTTCCAAAAAAACAAATAGGCGTGGATTTATAAAAGAAATATTTTCCAAACACCAAATAGGTGTGAATTTATTAAATAATAGTTTTCCCAAGGACCAAATAAGCGTGGATTTATAAAAGAAATATTTTCCAAACACCAAATAGGTGTGAATTTATTAAAAAATAGTTTTTCAAGGACCAAATAAACGTGGATTTATACAAGTAAATATTGAATCTCAAATTTATTTTAAAGGAAAACAAATTATAGGTTCGAATGTTCTAGATAGATCAACACAAAAATTTCTATAAAATGTTTTCTTCAACTTGAAATAATTTTCTCCGATCGCTTGGTTTCTATTATTGTAAAATAGATTGTTTTTCAACATCCCCTCTCAATTGGGTATACCTATAAGTTCAGTTAGTATCATGGTACAATTATAAAAGGAAACAGCAAATCCCAGCTGATTTGATTCCAACGTAATACTAGTGTCAATATGCATTTGACAAATTATGTTTTTAAAAATCACCCAACAGGAAAATTGGGAACTTATTCAATTCGAAATTGTTCTTTATTAAATGTCCTCCCGTATTCAATTTACTCAATCTGCCTGCTGGGATCGTTTGAGGAAGCAAATCTTTCTTTAAGGAACAACTCGCTATTCCCAGCATTTGCATATGTGTTACACCTATATATGGCAATGGCTCAATTATAGTAAAGATGTGGAAGCGATAGAAATATAAATTTGATATATTTTTATTCATGTTTTTCAATTTTTATTTTGTGGATTCAAAAATATTTCATTTTCGAAATAAAAATAATTTGATTATAATTTGTTTGTTTGTTTACATTTTTCTGTCAAAAGAGTTGACACTAGTAGAACTTACAACAACAAATGTCCATGTGGTTGTTGTATCGTTTGTTGTACAACAACACTTGCTGTTACCTTTTATTATTATACCATGAGTTAGTATATTAAATCGTTTTTGATCTGTTGCCTTAATTAATGTGTCAGCCAGTTGATCCTTAGTATTAATTGATTTTAGCTCTATTTTATCAGCAACATCATTATCTCTTACGAAATGGTGCTTTGTATCGATATTTTCAGCTCGCTCCTTTTTTATTTGATGCCATACAATACAACCTCGGTTATCTTCAAATATTGTAACTGCTTGATCCTGTTTAATAGCATCAATATCATCAAACACACCTTTCAGCCATATAGCTTCCGTGATTGCCAAGCTTAGAGCAATTTACTCAGCTTCTCTGGATGATATTGCAATAGTCTGCTGTTTTTTACTGCACCATGAGCCATGAACAGATTACAGATTTTCTATGAGTTACATCTGAAGCCCAGTCAGCATCCACGAATCCAATTATTCTTTCATCATTAGGTTTAAATTACAGTTTATTGTTTAAATTACAGATATTGTTCCCTTGAGGTACATTACAATTCTTTTCAGGTATTGCCAGTGCAATTCAGTCGGATTTTCTTGGTAGCGTGCCAAATATCTAACAGCAGAACATATATCTGGCCTTAAGCACAGCATAAGTTATATTAAACTTCCGAGTAATTCACGATATGGATGATTACGCTTATTTTCGCTTTCACTCTGCAACTGCAGTCTTTTCTACATAGGACTTTTCACCGAATTGCTCTCTGCCATTCCAAATTTGCCACTCCACAATCGTTCATTTCAAATTTGATGGACAGATCATATTTAATATTTTCAAAAGGGGACACTTTGCTCCCAGCAATAATCGAAGTCATCGATGTATAGAATAATTTCGAAAACATCTCGTTGAAGGTATCCCTTAGCTACTAAACGAGCTTCCTTTATTCGAAAAATCGATTAGGATTTTAAAAACTTTACATTTGCCGGAGTTTCAGCCTCTTTTCATACCTGATTCTTTTCCAAAGACGTGATTTCAACAGCAATTGCATTATATCATTCGGCAGCATATTTCAGCCCAAAATTTCTTTATAACTTTTCGGTATTCTTTTTGACAAAACTGTTGTTTCGAATCCAGTGATGTAGTTCAAAAGTTGTCCAGGTAATCTTAGTTCTCTAGTGCTGTGGCGAGCAGAATCTTAAGGCAATGCTCTTTCAGTCATTACTTACAGTTTCACGTTCATCACGCAACTCATCATTTAGTGTCACTGATGCACTTTTATGAATGGGAAGTCCAGCATTCTCATCAGACATAACAGATCCATTTGGTCCGAAAGACACGACATCATACTGAATATTTTTCCGAAGACCATAAATTCGAAATGTTCTCTACATTCACTTCAGTTGTATCCGTTGTTGTTTCCCTTTCCGAAGCAACGAGTGGCACCCTCGTTAATAGGCAATGTACTATTTCCGACATACAGTTTGATATCAAACTCCACAATGTTTGACCAAACATGTTGATCAAAGCAAACTCTAGTGTGATGTTCACTATTTTTAGAATCGCCATGATGGACGTTTGGTTTGGTTAGCCGGTCCACTTGTTTTTTTTATTCTGTCGATTGGTTGGTTCGTTGAGAATGGATTGTTTTGCGGTTTGTTGTGAACCTATAAAACATATTTGGTGCACGTGTTGCATTCGATGGCATCGCATCGCACACACAACTGTGTTTTGGTTCATTCATATTTTTTTGCGTCATGGCTGGCGATTGCTGCTACTTTGCTGGTGGTGTTGCTGCTGCCAGTGGTTCTCTGTTTGTTTTTGTTGATACGACAAATCTATCTGGGCAATTTTTGTCAGAGGAAGATATTGTTGTTATTGTCCCTTGCTGTCATTGATCATTTCGTGTTGTCACTAACAGAGGCAAACTGTTTTATTATCCCTCTTCTGGGGTAGCCGTTTGGTTTGGGCAAAATGTCTACTGACCGTCCCTTAATGGTTTTGCTACTCTGCTGCTTTGTTTGACCATGGAATTGTCGTCGGTTTTTTTGCATTGTCATTAATTAGACATTTTGCCGATGTTTCTTTCATAAATTCGAAATGAATGGGTTCTTTGGAAATAGTTTTGAAGGAAATATTTATTTGTTTTAATTAGAATAAGAAAAAATCGTTTAATGGTTTAAGGAGATCTCTTCTAGAGGAGTAAAGTGGCTGGTAAGATGGTGGAAGAAGTGAGCAAAGAAATTGCTAAGCACAAACGCTAAAACTGGCTAGGATGAACTAAGGATAAGTAAATCGACTTTCGACTAATCGATTAATCGCAAAGCTCAAATTGCCCAAAAATTACACTTTCCTGGAACTTTTCTTCATCTGTCCACAATAAATCATATAAAAAATCAAATTTTTAGTCGACTTTGCAGAAGTCAGTAAAAGTCTAAAATCGATTTTGAACAGTTTTGACAAAATCGAAAGATCGAAAAGTCGACTTTTTAGTCAAATTCAAAAATCGAGAAGTCTAAAAATCGACTTTTTTGGTCAGAGGCAAAAATCGAAAAGTCTAAAAATCGACTTTTTTGGTCAGAGGCAAAAATTGAAAAGTCGACTTTTGCACTCGACTATGTATCCCTAGGATAAACCGGTGAAACAAGTGCGAACAGTAAACTGATGCTCATTCCGGAAACTAATGATGATACTCCTTCGGAAGAGCAAACGAATTCTAAACCCGCAAAAGAAGACAAATACCAAACCTTGCTATAATATGCAGAAGACGAACGCTGCATTGGAATATTCTACACATCCCGAAAGTTCTAAACGAAAGAGCAAGAGTATGACAAAAATTTGTAAACAGCCGCCGTCTTATATAGAAAAAGTTATACTATGCCGTTATTGTCGCAAATAGTGCATCCGGTAAACTAAAAACGGAACCCAATAAGGAGGAAGGAAGGAAGGAATTCTGCTGGAAGGAAGGAATTCTATCGATCTGGATAACTACGAATTTAAAGGGTATTAATGCTTATGCTTGTGTTTTAGACCTTAAATAGCCCGGAATCTCTGAGGAAACTAGTGGCAATTATTGCCTCCATTAGCGAAACAACACAACTGAATCTGATGAGGTGAAGAGACATTTCCC